TATTAGTTTTTTTTATTTATTTACTTATTTTTTATTTTGTATATTTGCATTTATTCTCTTTGGTTTTCGATTTTTGAGTGATGTAGTGATATATATATATATATATATATATATATATATATATGTGTGTGTGTGTGTGTGTGTGTGTGTGTGTGTGTGTGTGTGTGTGTGTGTGAACTCGAAAATTTTCTGAGTAGACGTGTGGAAACCATTTTCCTGCCGCGGCCGTTGCGCAAATAAACTTCAATTGGTATGAATTCATCCCTTCTCTTCTCAGCTAATTCATAGAAGATTACTAGGCATTAATAGTAGTGCTCCCCAGGTTTGGTTGGCTTCTCATCTATCCAGAAAAAAGGCAACTCTTAATATGAAACAGGTTGGACGTTTGGCTAACTAATACACTCCATAAAAACCCTACTTGCTGCAGGAGCAACTGAAGCAACAGCAGCAACACCTCACGTGGTCAGAAGCTGAATGTCTACTTCACTGGGAGTTTACAGTGTTAAAGTCACACACACACACACACACACACACACAATTTCGCGCATGCGCGTTGTTTATTTTTATAGAAGAATCAGTTGGGCACCGTCTGTGAGAAAATCACTCCACGACGCAATTCAATCTGACAGAAATTTGGAAACGGCATGCTCTACTGCTTGGCATTCGCACCGGAAGCTCCGATACGAACATTTCAAAGTGTATGGGTATAAATCTGAGGACAGTGCAGAGGATTCCGAAAGAGTTCAGTGCGTCTAATCGTAATTACGAATGTACGAGAACTTGGGAAATTAGCTCTGATCAACCTGATAAGAAAAGAACTCTCGAATTTGTTGGTGAGGGATTAAGACTCAACAGTGAGGCCTACATCAAATGACTTGAGGAGGTAGTTCTCCCCTGGGGCAATATGGTGTTTGCCGGAAGACCCTATGTCTAGTAATAGGACTCTGCACCATGTCACACAAGCAGGTGGACCCAGGGATGTGTGTCAGACAATATCTGCTACCGCAATCACTCTTTACGTCTGTCTACCTAACTTACCAGACTGCAACACCCGTGAATATTATGTGTGAGGCGCATTTGAGCGTGAAACCAACAAAACTCCTTGTAGCACCAAAAATGAACTTAAGGCAAGGATTATGGCAGCATTCGCCAACTTAAACAAGGAGACCGTCCAGAAGAGTTGCTGGAGATTCCGTAGACGTATGAAGTTCGTGGTTAAAGCCAATGGTGATTTTATTGAATAAATTTACTATTTATTATTTCAAGATATTTTTGTGCAATTTTCCTAAACAGATAATAAAATAGGATGTCAGTGTTATTTTTAATTTTTTCCAAATTGAGATGACAATTTATCTATCGCAACACACACACATTATATATATATATATATATATATATATATATATATATATATATATGACATCGCACATTGAGTGTTGGTGTTAATAAAATAGTGCTTCATATAATATAACAGAGCTATGAATTATATATTAATAAATATACATATTTTTCTTTCCTGGCAGCATGACTCGGGGTTTCATACACAAAGTACTATTCAGGTGCTGAGTTAAGACTAACCGTTACATAATTAAAATTTTCTTAAATATATGTGCTTTTCGCAATTATTATTTTTTCTTTTATTACGTTTATTTTAAATACAAAAGGGTATTAGCACGTAAGTAAATGTAATGGATTCGGCAGGAATTCATTCAATAGTGCCCGTATAAAATATGGATAGCCACATTATTGCCATAAATATATATATATATATATATATATATATATATATATATATATAAGTCAACATAGAGAAGAAGTCTGTTTCATGTTATATGCAATCGTGTGGCCTGACGATTGCATCTAGCATGAAACAGACTGTCGCCTCTAAGTGTTGACTTCCATGTTCACCTTTATATTTACACACGCTCTATCTCTGATATTGAGCACTTTATCCCATAAATATAGCACACCGTAAGAGTATATTTCTTCATATATATATATATATATATATATATAATGGACTCTCCCGTTGGTTTCGACGTATGAGGATCTGACAGGTTAGTTGATTCAGTTATGAAATTATGTGTGATAATCTTAAGTGGCATTTAAGACCCGCTAATGATTTACAAAGGGGGGCACATATGGAGCAAAAGTAAGGATTGTGAGATGAGTCCACTGTTAGATTGGCTGACCTTTTAGTTGTTGCTCTCGCTTCTTGAAGATGATTCAGACAAGCAGATTGAAAACTGATGAGTCCACTAAAACACGTTGACCTTCACACACATACACACACACACACACACACACACACACACACACACACACACATATATATATATATATATATATATATATATATATATGGGAAATAATAATTTTTTTGGCAGTTCCTGCGAACCTTCGTCAGGTGCTTGATACTGAAGATTGTTTTTTGAACTGAGATAAATTTCAAATCCAGTAGAGGTTATCGACGTCGCTGCGAGAATATATGCAAATGTTT